TTTTTTTAAGATTTTATTTATTCATTTGACGGACAGAGATCACAAGTAGGCAGAGAGACAGGCAGAGAGAGAGGAAGGGAAGCAGGCTCCCTGCTGAGCAGAGAGCCCGATGCAGGGCTCGATCCCTGGACCCTGGGATCATGACCTGAGCTGAAGGCAGAGGCTTTAACCCACTGAGCCACCCAGGCGCCCCTATTGTGTGCTTTTTTAGATTTATTTTGTAGACTCACATTTTATACTGTGTGGTTTCCTATTTTTTATTAACATACAGTATTATATTAATTTCAGGTGTACAATATAATGAGTTGATTAACATTTTAATTTTTTTATATAGTTAGGTCTACTAGAGTGGTTGATGGCAGTTTTGTAAGACCCAAATTTTAGTTCTATGAATCTTCTTTATCCTATCTAATTCAGGTTGAATACGAAGGCTTAAAGCATGAGATTAAGCGGTTTGAGGAGGAAACTGTGCTGCTCAACAGCCAGCTAGAAGACGCCATCCGGTTGAAAGAGATTGCGGAGCACCAGCTGGAAGAAGCCCTTGAGACCTTAAAAAATGAGAGGGAGCAAAAGAACATCTTGCGGAAGGAGCTCTCCCAGTACATCACCCTCAACGACAACCATATCAGCCTCTCTGTCGATGGACTCAAGTTCACGGAGGACGCAAGTGAACCAAACAATGATGACAAAATGAATGGGCATATCCATGGGCCCCTTGTGAAACTGAATGGAGACTATCGGACTCCCACTTTAAGGAAAGGAGAATCTCTACACCCTGTTTCTGACTTATTCAGTGAGCTGAACATTTCAGAAATACAGAAGTTGAAGCAACAACTTATGCAGGTAAGATCTCTTTAGGGCTGTGAGAGTAGATTTCTTACAGATTGCGGGTCACCTGTTCTGGGATTTTTTTGATCTCACATTTTAATTCTAGCTTGTTTTTTGAAATAACGCTTCTTCAACTGGCAACTTTGAACGTACAGTATCTTAGAAAGATGTAACAGAATATGTGTTCAAAACTCATTTGCGTCACTTTGAGAAATCTATGTTAGAGAATGGATAAAGAAGATGGGAGATCTATCTATCTATCTATATACATACATACATACACAATGGAATAGTATGTAGCCATCAGAAAAATGAAATCTTGCCATTTGCAATGACGTGGTTGGAACTAGAGGGTATTATGCTAAGCAAAATAAATCAATCAGAGAAAGACAATTATCATATGATCTCACTGATATGAGGAATTTGAGAAACAAGACAGAGGATCATAGGGAAAGGGTGGGGAAAATGAAACAAGACTAAACCAGAGAGGGAGACAAACCATAAGAGACTCTTAATCTCAGGAAACAAACTGAGGGTAGCTGGAGAGGAAGGTGGGTGGGAGGGAGGGGTGGTTGGGGGATGGACATTGGGGAGGGTATGTGCTATGGTAAGTCCTGTGAATTGTGTAAGCCTGATGAATCACAGACCTGTACCCCTGAAACAAATTTAAAAAAAAAAAATCTATCTTAAAGCCACAAAGTGGATTGCAATCAGGTGTGAAGGGAGAAAAGGGTCTCCATCCATTTCTAACAGAAAAATTCAGAACCTATACATACGAGCGAAATGATAGAAAAATGAACATTTCCATCACAAACAACTGTAGATATAGCTTCAAGAATAATGGTAGACTTCACAAGAATACCTTAAGCTTTAAAAGACCTGAAGGACTTTCAGTATGCTAATTAGCCAGGATATCATATGATTCAAAATACAGAACAGGGATAAATCTGAAACCAAGGAGTTGTTATTCCAACATGATCTAGGCCTTAAATTTTTAGCACCTTCAAATTCAAATGCCTTGTGAAGAGTCCTAGCCTTTAAGGTTATCTCGCTATGAAATGGCTTTTCTAGTTTAGGTCTTTCCTCCCTGCCTATCTTAATCCAGTGCTGATGGGAATCTTGCCTGAGGAACAGCATCACCCCTGTCACCATGGCTTGGGGGCTTCTCACTACTACAAATTGTTGGGCTCCAGCAGACCTGCGGAACCAGGAATCTGGTTCAACAGGCTTGTCAGGTGATTAGGTTTGAGGCTGAATTTTCAGTCTCTTATCCTCCCCCCAGGTTCTTTGCATTTGGGTGATAATCAGAGGCTGTCGAGACTCTGGCAGGCATTTATTTCTATAGCAAATGGGGTTTATACTTTCCTGCCTTTATAGAAATGATGACTAAAAAATGAAAATAGCAGAAGTAAGAAACTAGAGAACCAGTGATGTTAATTTAATAGGTTTATTATTAACAGCACATCGAGAATTAACATATTATGCACTTAACCTGCCGTGTGCGTTGGGCTACTAGCAAAGAATTCATTTTCACAGTGTTTAAATCAAGAAATCAAGAGGGCATGGCCATTGGAAGAAAATGAATTTCATATAGACTCTTACCTGACTGCGAAGTTCAGTTCTGTTGGGTAATATTTCTCTATGTCTTTTTGCTCAGTTTACACTAATACAACTAGATTGATAGCAAACATATTTTAAATTTTTGCATGATAATTTGTAAGAATTCATACCCCCAAACTAAATAGAATTAATTTAAAGTTTTTCTTAAACTATCACATTGGTGGCTTTAGTATACAGTTAGTGTACCAAGAATTTTTGTTTCTTCCTTTTATGGTGGCAGTGTAGAAAATAATAGGAAGAGGGGCTTTTATGGACAAAACAGCTGAACAGTTTTCAGCCAGGTTAGCTATTGGCTGAAAACTCAGAGCTGTTTTCTTCGCATCTAATCCTAAATCTAATCTGAAATAATACAAAATTCTAGAAGAGATGAGTCATTTAACAAGAAGAATGGTGAAGACAAGTTCTCAGCAAGAGAGTGGTTCTTGGCTGGAATGTCGTTTGCATTTGGGGTAGGAAGATTCCTCATTGTCTGACACTGGTGAGCTAAAAGGGGTCTAGCATCTCTGGACCCAACCCATTTAGTGCTAGGTACATCTCTTCAGTCAACTTGATGACCCAAAGTGCCCCACACATTTCAGATGCTCCAAGGGCCAACCGCTAGTTGGGAACCCTTTAGAGGGACAGCACATTACTCTACCATCAAATGGGGCTACAGAATACCTTCCTGGTTAGAATGGCTTGATTTATGAGTTAATGTGTGTAGAGTGCTTAGAACAGGGCCAGACACACAGTAAATGCTCAGTGATTGTGAGCTATTATTACTATTTTCAACTCCACAGTGCCTTTAATTTATTAAGCTCTTGATTCATTTAGCTTCTATTAATATTAACTTACTTTTGGACAGTTTTACTCGAGGAATGTCATCTCAGAAGGACTAACATATGTGGTCACTGGTAGGAATACAGAAAGGTAATAGTTAAGTGTCTGAGGGTGAGGTCTTTCTGAAAACTGATGTTCATTTAGCAAAGAGGGAGAGAAAAACATGACTGGGTAAGCCTTCCCTCAATACAGCAGAAAACTGTACCAGTGCTTAATTCATGTTGACAGTTTGTCAAGATATAGAGGGGCACAGGGAGGGCTTCATGTTCCAAAATTTGCTCCACGTTTAATTATAGAAACCAGGCTCAAGGGTACCTGGGTGGCTCAGTGGGTTAAAGCCTCTGCCTTCGGCTCAGGTCATGATCCCAGGGTCCTGGGATCGAGCCCCACGTCGGGCTCTCTGCTCTGCAGGGAGCCTGCTTCCTCCTCTCTCTCTCTCTGCCTGCCTCTCTGCCTACTTGTGATCTCTGTCTGTCAAATAAATAAATAAAATCTTTAAAAAAAAAAAAAAAAAAGAAACCAGGCTCAACGCAGGAAGGGCTTTGCAGCTTCCAGCCTCACAACCTACAACACTAATCTGTAATTTTGTTTTAGACAAAGTAGCCATCTTTTGGTAAGCAACATTTTAAAAAAAAACATATCAACTTTTTCTAAGAATATATTTCATTGAGTACAAATATAGCAGAATATATCTTTTCATGCATAATTTGTTTATATAATCTGACAGATTTTCCTTAGCTATGCATCCCCTGAGTTTAATTTATGTAAATAAGCAAATTATAAAGAACATGCCAGGATATACTGCCTAGAAGTGATTGCATTTGTGTTTGATCTTAATGTTTCACCATGTTAATGTTAGAGCATGACATTTAATAAAGTTAGTAAAGTTAAAATAAAGTTAATAAAGAGTATGACAGTTCTGATATTCAACAGGACTAATACACCTTGCAGCATATACTGTGTATCAGTGCCACTCTCCTGGATGTTCCAAGGAGCAAGCAATAAAACGCACTTTAAGTGTGGCTCTCTGAAATGCTTGGGGCCAGGTGTGTTTTGAAACTAACTGTTCAGAATGTAGAAAGGTAATATGCAGCACGTATGATATATTTATGACATCCCTAATGGGATGGGGTGTAGCAGTGAATGATCAAAAAGTATAAACATTTCTGTAGTGCAACATGTGGTTATTCATGTTAAGAGGAGAAAATGAGGACCAGAAAAGGTCTCTCATCAGTCAGGTGCAATTTTGCTGCTAGAGAAGTCTAGAGCTGTGAGTTAAGAGAAAACTTTTATTTAAAGCCACTTGAGATTTAGAAGTTATGGCTGTCTTAGGCATGGCAATTGCCACACTGTCAGGCAGCTCGCTGGCTTGTGTATCTCAGTTTCTGATATCAGCATACTTTGGATATCGCAGCTTGTGTTTTCATAGTTCCCTTGTTTTTTAGGATTTCTTTTGGCTGGGGTCCAAAGTACCTTCAAATCGAACACCTGTGCTTCGTTAATGTTGACAGTTTGTGGAGATATATGGGGGCATGGGGAGGGATCTAACACCCTGTACCAGGGAATATGCAGCTTTTAAATTGTTCTTCTTAGAATTAAAGAAACCTTTTGAAAACAGCATACCCAGGTCGAAGAGATCATACTGCCATCTGCTGGGAAGTGGTGATAATTAACACGAAAATCTAGGACAACTGCAACTGAAAGAGTACCTCCCAGCGTTGTATTGCTCTCAAGACTCAGTTATTTCGAATAGACTATACAGCTGATCCTTGAACAACACAGATTTGAACTGCATCGGTCCACTGACATGTAGTTCTTTTTGTGTAAATACAGTATAGTACTGTAAAGGTGCCTCTTACGATTCTTAATAACTTTTTTCTCTAGCTTACTTTATTGTAAAAAAGTATATAATACACGTAACATTCAAAATATGTATTAGTAGACTATTTATGTTATCGGTAAGGCTTCCAGTCTGTAGTACTGCATTGTTCAAGGGACAGCTGTAATTGATATTTTCCAGTGACAGCCAAGTTACCTTAATTAGTTTTATTAGAATGAAAATAAGTAGATCCTGTCTGGGGAAGCGAAATTACTTAATCTATTTAAAGGAGTCTCTCTGCTTGTACTAAAATTTCTGCCTTTGATAAATAGCCTCTGTTTAACCTCACATTGCAGAGAGTCAAACTAGGGAGAAAACTGTTCGGATTTTTTTTTTCAGTATCATACCAGCTATATAATTTCACATCTAATGTGACAAAACAGCAATGTTTCTATGAAACCGAATCTGATGTTCTATTGTATCCTCACGGATGTGAAAGAAATAAAGATTCATATTATATTTAGATCCACTCTATTGAAGACCATTTTGATTTTTCCTATAATGATGGTAAGTGGTCAGTTTGCTATTATGTCCACTAAGAGTTCAAAGCAATTTATATATATTTGCTTAATTGGTTGGTATTATAACAACTGTAGGAGGTAGAGAGTATTATTATCCCCATTTTATAGATCGGCAAATTGAGGCATAGATATGTTATTGTCATTTGCTCAAAGTCAAGAACTTAGTAAGTACATTT